CTCTGGAGGGCCAACAACAGGGCAGAGAGGCCGAGGCCTTCCCCTGATAAGACCACCAGAAGAGCCCTGCTGGGTCAGACCAGGGAGGGTCCACCTAGCCCAGCCTCCCGTCTCACACGGTGGCCAGCCAGTTCCTCTGGAGGGCCAACAACAGGGCAGAGAGGCCGAGGCCTTCCCCTGATAAGAACCTCAGAAGAGCCCTGCTGGGTCAGACCAGGGTGCGTCCATCCAGTCCAGCCTCCCGTCTCACACAGGGGCCAGCCAGTTCCTCTGGAGGGCCGACAACAGGGCAGAGAGGCCGAGGCCTTCCCCTGAGAAGAACACCAGGAGAGCCCTGGTGGATCAGACCCATAAGGGTCCATCTAGTCCAGCCTCCCATCTCATACAGGGGCCAACCAGTTCCTCTGGAGGGCCAGCAACAGGGCACAGAGGCCAAGGCCTTCCCCTGAAAAGAACCTCAGAAGAGCCCTGCTGGGTCAGACCAGGGTGCGTCCATCCAGTCCAGCCTCCCGTCTCACACAGGGGCCAGCCAGTTCCTCTGGAGGGCCAACAACAGGGCAGAGAGGCCGAGGCCTTCCCCTGAGAAGAACACCAGGAGAGCCCTGGTGGATCAGACCCATAAGGGTCCATCTAGTCCAGCCTCCCATCTCATACAGGGGCCAACCAGTTCCTCTGGAGGGCCAGCAACAGGGCAGAGAGGCCGAGGCCTTCCCCTGAGGTTGCCTCCTGGACCTTGGATTCAGAGGTTTACTGCCTCTGAATGGGGAGGTTCCTTTTAGTCGCCAGAGCTAGTAGTTACTGATGGATTTACCTTCCAAGAATCTATCTAACCCCTTTTAAAGCTGTCTCTCCCTGTGGCCATCACTACATTCCCTTGCAGCGAATTCCACACTGTAATCCCTCTCTGGGTAAAGAAGTGCTTCCTGTTGTCTGTCCTGAACCTACCGCCCATCAGCTTCACCGGATGCCCTCGAGGTTCTAGTATCCCGGGAGAGGGCGAAGAAGTTCTTTTCCTCAACCATTTGTCTGTTCTCTCTATCCTGTGCATGATTTGGTATGCCAATATGTTCCCCTGTACAAGGCTGCACGGGTGGGAACTTACGTGAGAGTAAAAGGAACCTCCACAGTCAGGGACAGTCTATCCGTGAGTACCAGGCGCTGGAAACAAGCCCCACGGCTCTCCTCCCAGCCCACTCGTGAGTAGGCAACTGGCTGCTGGTTGAAACTAATGAAAAAAGGAAAAAGAACTGTGACAATTTAGCGCTTGGTAATATATTCATAAATCATAATATACAATAACAGAAAATAAGTAATATATATATAGTGAATGTAGACGGTGGTCTCCGGAATGGTGTGCCGTTTCGACAATGATCTTCTTCTGAACATGGGGTGTGTACAAAAACTGTCTTTCAACAATTCATTTCTCTTGGTGACGTATTGGAAAATATACAGCAATTCAGCAATTATAGCCCATTGAAGAACATAGCTGTAAGCATAGCCTCATGATGAAGTGAATCAACAGTATATTTCCAATACGTCACCAAGAGAAATGAATTGTTGAAAGACAGTTTTTGTACACACCCCATGTTCAGAAGAAGATCATTGTCGAAACGGCACACCATTCCGGAGACCACCGTCTACATTCACTATATATATTACTTATTTTCTGTTATTGTATATTATGATTTATGAATATATTACCAAGCGCTAAATTGTCACCGTTCTTTTTCCTTTTTTCATTGGTCTTATTACAGTGCCCATTCTTGTAACTATTCTCTGCTGGTTGAACCTAGGCCGCCTGAGCCATGCAGGGCAGCCGTTTTGCGATCGTGCCAGCCGTGCCGGGAGCTGACCGGCACAGGAGAAAGCGGTACCCAGATTTTCGGCAATCCTCTTCCGCCTCAGCTCCATGGCCTCCTGCCTCAGCTGCAAGGCGTGCTGGGCGATCTCGTCACTGACCACGTTGGAGGTCATGATGAAGATGGCGTCCTTGCAGTCGATGGTCTTCCCTTTCCCGTCCGTCAGCCGGCCCTTCGAGAGACAAGAACAAAACACGGTCATTGGGGGGCGGGTGGGGAGATTGCAGGAAGACCTCTCAGGTTTTCTCTATGGCTGTATTGACTAGCATTTTAGAGCCCCCCCCCCCCGCTTTGCATGCAGAAGGTCCTAAATTTAATCCCAGGCTTTTGTCCTTACAGGATCGGGCAGCCGTCGTTGGGGAAATTCTCCTCTACCTAGCCATGTGAAGAGCCCCTGCCAGAGGGCACAGGAAGCTGTCCTATACTGAATCGGACCACTGTGCCCATCAAGTTCAGTCTTGTCCGATGCTCCCTCTAAGCTGCGGAGTCTTGTGAGCAAAACGTTTACTTTGTGAGCGACTGGCATTAAAGTCGTGAGTCAGCGATTGGGGTCTGAACTGGCAGAGACTGATTAAGAGAGAGATCTTGGAGTCGTAGTAGATAACTCACTGAAAATGTCAAGACAGTGTGTGACTGCAATAAAGAAGGCCAATGCTATGCTGGGGATTATTAGGAAGGGTATTGAAAACTGATCAGCCAATATCATAATGCCCCTATATAAATCAATGGTGCAACCTCATTTGGAATACTGTGTGCAGTTCTGGTCACCACACCTCAAAAAAGGATATTATAGCTTTGGAAAAAGTGCAGAAAAGGGCAACTCGAATGATAAAAGGGTTGGAACACTTTCCCTATGAGGAAAGGTTAAGGCGCTTAGGGCTCTTTAGCTTGGAGAAACGACGACTGAGGGGAGACATGATCGAGGTTTATAAGATTATGCAGCGGGAGCTGGGACGAGGGCCAGGTGCTCAATCTGGCCGCGGTGGGTTTCGAACAGCTGTACAGCTGTTCGTAGATGTTACTTAGTTACTTAGTAGACTTAAAATGGAAGAAGACAATATGGAAAAAAGGACACTGATGTGGTACATGATCACGACTGCCAGAATGACATATACCCAATGTTCGAAACAAGACAAGGTCCCTGAGATTGGGGAATGGATTAAAAAACTACTTTTTATGGTGGAAATGGACAAAATGACAAGGAAACTTAATAATTTGGAAGCAGAAGAATTTTTTTGCAGACTGGAAAGACTTTAAAGAATACTTAGGAAAACACTGGGATGTAAAAAACAATTTGATTTGCTTTGGTAACTACTGAAAGTTATAAGAAATAATAGATAAATGTATTTGAATTACAGTTGAAAGATAAGTTACCTAGAGATGTATTATGGGGGGGGGAAAGAGAGGAATGAAGTGAATGTAAGATTGGAGCAGGAGGTTGGAGCACTGTGGGAAGCCGAAAAGGGGGGAGGGAATTGAGGAGGAAAGGATGTATAATGAACTATGTATTGATATATGTTTAACTTTTTAATATATCCTAATATAAGGAACACATGAAGCTGTCTTATACTGAATCGGACCACTGTGTCCATCAAGTTCAGTCTAGTCTCTTCAGACTGGCTGCGGCTCTCCAGGGTCTCGGGCAGAGAGATCAAGATGGGCAACCACGTTGGCCTGCCTGCAGCCGTAGAAAAGAGCCAGAGTCCAGGAGCACCTTCAAGACTGACAGAATATGTGGCCGGGGAGGAGCTCTCGTTGAGTCCCGGCTCACTTCTTCAGGCGCAGCAAGAGCGGGAGCCCATCCGTCCTTCTATCACAAGGTGGATGGATTCCCATTCTGCACGGCTCAACGTGGTGGTGCCTTCCGTGGAGACAGACTGAGATGGGTCGCCATGCGAGTCTGTCTGTAGCAGTGGGAAAGAGCCAGAGTCCAGGAGCACCTTCGACATCAACAAAATATGTGGTGGGGGAGGAGCTTTCGTGAGTCACCGATGAAGAGGTGTGAAGGGCAGGGGTCATTTCCTGCGGGAGCGCACAGGAGCAGAGCTCTGGCAGTAAAGAGCCCAGGGGGCAGGCGCATGCAACAAGCCCCGCCCCCTGCTCCCAGCAGCCCTCAGTCAGAGCAAGAAGCAGCCAGGTAAGCTGCAGAGCCAACAGGTCCAAAACAGTCCAGTGGCACCTTTTTTTTAAAAAATATAATTTTATTAAATTTTCAAACAAATAGAACAATCAACAATATAATAATAAACCATCAAAGCTACATTGGAAAATACCATAGTTTTGATGTTATACAGTAAATATTTACATTAATATGCCATTATCTCTTCATACTTATGAGGTAAAATAAACTGTAAATTTTGATTTGAAGTAATATAATCAAAAAATACAAACCTCACCTTTAAGACCAAGTTTTATTCAGGTACAAGCTCTCCCTCCTCTGCGAGGACATCTGCACATTCCCCCCCCCCTCCAATAGCTAGCAATCCAAAACAGTCCAGTGTTGCCTTCTGACACACTTCTTGTGATGTCAGGGGGTGTGGCATATGCAAATAAGTTATGCTAATTGGTTATGCAAATGAGCTCCTGCACCTCTTTTTCTACGAACTGACCCCTGCCTGTAACACATGTACACTTACTTATGTTTTTAACTTTTGGCCCTCAGTAAGTTTTCTAGACTTCCTTTGGAGGTTTCTGCTTCGTTGGTTTAGATTTTATCCCCTCTTTTTTTGGGGGGGGGGACCTTATAGAGCCCTCCCCAGCCCCACGGTCCAAAACAGTCCAGTGGCACCTTTAAGACCAAGTCTTATTCAGGTACAAGCTCTCCCTCCTCTGCGAGGCCAGATCTGCACATTCCCCTACCCCAATAGCTAGCAATCGAAAACAGTCCAGTGGAGCCTGAACGGTGGGTGTTGCCTTCTGACACACGTCCGGTGATGTCAGGGGAATGTGGCCTATGCAAATAAGGTATGCTAATGAGTTATGCTAATGAGCCCCTGCACCTCTTTTTCCTACGAAATGACCCCTGGTGAAGAGTGAAGGGTTCTGTGCAGACGTGGCCAGGATTCTGACGGCACAGGCTTCGTCCTGTGTCTTAGAAACAAAACCAGGAGGTTCAATATAGGGAACCACATCCCACTGAGCAGGGCCGCCCCGCACTGGAACAGGAGAGATTTGATGAATGCCACCAAGGCCTGTCTGCAGAACGGGCACAATGCAAATCACTAGGAAGGCTCCGTTCTCCATGCTTAATGGGTTGGGGGGGGGGGGGGGGGAAAGCAAGCTGGGTTGCCTGTGTGTTTTTCTTCCTTCCCAAGGATTAATAACACAGGGTGTCTTTCCCTCTGTCTTGCATAGATCACGGTGGCAGCCGCTAAATGTGAAATCAATGCCTGCGCTGCTTGCCCGGGCGACGGCCGAAACAATAATCCCAAGTACCCAGTGCGGATTTGTGCTCTTCCGCTGGCGATGCCCGCTCCCGGCAACGCGGGGTGGGGGGCCTTGCTGTTTGTGCTTTCTTCCACCCCCCCACAGAGGTTATTATTTCCGTCTTCTCGGAGGGCAGAGGAGACGAGTGCTTGGAACGCCGCAAACGGCTCTCCTGTGCCGGCCCGCGTGCCCGCTTTGCCCTCCCCTCCGGTGAACGCGATATGCGCAGCACTGGAAGCGGTTACGATCTCGGCTCTGACGGTGCGGCCACAACGGTCCCACTGTACCCATCTCGGCGCTTTTATAGCCCACGGCCGTTTCCCCGCCAGTCTATTAAACGGCCCCCCCCCCACCGCGTGAATGAACTGCCTTTCCCACACAAGGTTGATCCCCCTCGCCCTAGGAGCCTGGACTCTCGAAAACTTCTGCCCCTAAGACCTTGTTGGTCCCTCAGGGGTTACGGGACTCGAATCGAGCTGTTCCACAAACAAACAAATAAATATTAAGGTTTTAACTTTTGCACCTGGATCCCTGAAAACCCAACTGTTTAGAAACCTAGAGCTGGAAGGGACCCCAACAGTCATCCAATCCAACCCTCTGCACAAGGCAGGAAATTCACAGAAGAGGGCAAAAAAACCCCTTCCAGGATCCCTGGCTGGTCTCGCCTGGAGGAAATTCCTTCCTGACCCCAAAGCGGCCATTGGCATTACCCCGTGCATGTAAGAAAGGGCCCTGAAAGCCGCACACAGGCTCATCCCTTCCTGCACACCCTCTCACGATCTGCCTTGGCATTTGGGACCAGTGTTCCCTATAAGCTGAGTTAGTGTGAGGGAGCTCACAGTTTCTTAGCCTCCAGCGCACACATTTTTGTCTTGGCAAACTAATCGATGCAGGAGCCAAATCGCTCGCTCATAACTTTAATGCCGGTAGCTCACAAAGTAGATTTTCTGCTCACGAGACTCCACAGCTTAGAGGGAGTATTGCTCACAGTGTGCCCTTTGGATAGGGTCAGTGTTCTGTGTGAGGGAGCTCACAGTTTTTCAGCCTCCGACTCATACATTTTTGCCTTGACTCACAAAGGAGGGCTCCAGCGCAAACTAATTGATGCAGCAGCCAAATTGCTCGCTCACAGCTTTAAGAAGAAGACGAAGACGAAGAGATTGGATTTATACCCCGCCCTTCACTACCCGAAGGAGTCTCAGAGCGGCTTACAAACTCCTTTCCCTTCCCCTCCCCACAACAGACACCCTGTGAGCAATGTTCCCTCTAAGCTGTGGAGTCTTGTGAGCAAAAATTCTACTTTGTGAGCTACTGGCAAGCACTTTGGGTACTGCATAAATTAGTTTGCTCTGGAGCCGTCTTTCCTGAGCTAGGACAAAAATGTGTGAGCCGGAGGCTAAAAAATGGTGAGCTAGCTCACACTAACTCAGCTTAGAGGGAACACTGCGTGAGGTGGGTGGGGGCTGAGAGAGCTCTGACAGAAACGGCTCTTTCAGGAACAGCTGTGCCAGAGCTTGTGATTGACCCAAGGTCACACCAGCAGCTGCACGTGGAGGAGTGGGGAATCAAACCCGGTTCTCCAAGACTGGAGTCCGCACACTTAACCACGACACCAAACTGGCTCTCTAATGACAGTAGCAGTAGCTCACAAAGTAGAATTTCTGCTCACAAGACTCCGCAGCTTAGAGGGAGCGTTGCTTGGCACCTCTGGAGATGACAGAAACTCGCCCCCTTAGCTTCACCCTGCCATCCGACGGGAGGCAGAAGTGAACTGAAAGAGGGGAAGGGAGCTCCAATTCGTCATCCCCAAACCAATAACCTTTTCAGGGGCAGTCGGTTCTGCAGGACAGGGGAGAGCGGGCGCGTCGGACACTGGAGTGGTTCGCGCACGCTCGAATCCCACGCAGACGGAGGCCGCGGGCTGTTTCGGGACCGAGACTCCTGGAGTTGACCATCTCTTGAGTGGCCTTGGCAAGCCCCGGCCACACCCAGAACGGGCCCCGCCCGGGGTCTTACTTCGTCAAAGAGCTGCAGCATGATGGTGAGGACGTCGGGGTGGGCCTTATCCACCTCGTCAAAGAGGACCACGGCGTTCGGGCACTGCTTGAGCTTCTTTGTCAGCTGTCCGCCTTCCTCGTGGCCCACGTAGCCCGGCGGGGAGCCGATGAACTTGGCGACCTGGGAAAGGGGAAGAGACAACAGGACGCCCTGTCAAAAACTGGTTTGCCAACCTCCAGGCGGGACCTGGAGATGTCCCAGTATTATGTGATCTCCAGGACGACAGAGATCAGTTCCCCTGGGGGAAAATGGCTGCTTTGGAGGGCGGAGTCTGTGACACTGTGTCCTGGTGCCCTGTGAGGTAGGTCCAGTTGAAGAAAAAGATGATGATGACGACAATGACAAAGAGGAGGAGGAGACTGGATTCATACCCCGCCCTTCACTTGGAGTCTCAGAGCGGCTTACAATCTCCTTTCCCTCCCCCTCCCCACAACAGACACCCCTGTGAGGTAGGCGGGGCTGAGAGAACTCTTCTGAGGACTGCCCTTGAGAGAACAGCTCTGAGATGAGAAGAAATTGGATTTATACCCCGCCCTTCACTGCCCGAAGGAGTCTCAGTGTGGCTTACTATCTCCTTTCCCTCCCCCTCCCCACAACAGACACCCTGTTAGGTAGGCGGGGCTGAGAGAGCTCTTCTGAGGACTGCCCTTGAGAGAACAGCTCTGAGATGAGAAGAAGAGATTAGATTTATACCCCACCCTTCACTGCCCGAAGGAGTCTCAGAGTGGCTTACGATCTCCTTTCCCTCTCCCTCCCCACAACAGACACCCCTGTGAGG